GATATCGTTAGGATAGACAGACTAGGGAAGACATTGTTGAGCCACCTTGGGCAAAGTAAAAAGGAACGATTGGCCATCGGTGATCGGTCTTGTAGGAACAATGCTCCGTCCTCTCGAGGACGCGTGGTCAATGGTCTAACCGCTAGGGCATGCAAAACATAAGAGTACGCCCCCCCCTCCCTCCCCCCCGGAGTACACCTCTCTCCCCCCCGGTGTTTGCCATCGGGGTTTGGTAGCAATCTTGTTGTTGTCGTTGTTGTTGTTTCTCACATTAGCTCTCTAGTCCACAAAAAGTGGGCAGCCCGTGGTCTCAAAACCCGGCACACACGACGCCGTGGGGAAACAAAACAAATATAGGGTACAAACCACTCGGAAAAAGAAAACAAAATGACAGAAAGAAAAGAATAGGTATTGCACCGACCGTGCGAGAAAAGAGCCCTCGGAAACCGATCAAAAACAAAACAAAATAAAAAATAAAGGAGGACGCTTCCCACACCCGCCCAAAGAAAAAATCAAAGGGTAATGTACCAGCACCAGGCACTACGCACCAGGGCATGGGAGTAACGGAGCAAACAGGACAAAGAGGCGGCAGATGGGCAGACAGCCAGACGTACAAAAACAAAGGCAACAGCAAAGCGAGATCACGGTACCCAACACAGCAGAGTAGGCAGGGAGGTCATGAAAAAAAGAAACACAGAAACACAGCACAGAGGCCGAAGGCAATACAAAGGACATACATTAAGGAGTATAGCATACAGCAGGGAGGGAAACAGGGCGCAACAACATCAGCCGGGTACATACTTCGCCACAGGTGCTGCCTTGGCCGCCCTACTCGCTTCTACAGCAGTGCCCGGTCGTCGTTTCTTCCCCNAAGGAGGGAGGACATGAAAAAAAGAAACACAGCACAGAGGCCGAAGGCAATACAAAGGACATACATAAAGGAGTATAGCATACAGCAGGGAGGGAAACAGGGCGCAACAACATCAGCCGGGTACATAGTTCGCCTCAAGTGCTGCCTCAGCCGCCCAACTCGCTTCTACAGCAGTGCCCGGTCGCCGTTTCTTCCCCCCCACCGCCGCTTCGCCGGTTCTTTGTCTCTTCGGTCCTGAGGTGGTCGTACTCTCTGCTTCTGCTTCCCTCGCGCGCTGGCGCTTCGCGGACGCTTCCGCCTCCTGCCTGTGCCATTTCCTCATGAACCATGCCGCCCCGTCCTCGACCTTGTTGTACCACACCTCCTGATCCTTGGCGCTCTCTTTCCATTTCCTCTCTTCCTTTTCGTCTCCCATGTTGAAGGCCATTAGGTCCTCTCCTAGCCGAGACACCCAGTCGCTCTCCTGCCCGCCTCGGTATCCTACGCCCCCCGCCATCGCTCCTAACAGCATGCGCTTGGGGAGGCGG